AATTTAAAAGAAGAAAACAATAATAATTTCGAGATAAAAAGAATACTAAAATATGTAGGAAAACTTACAATAGCTTAACTGACGGCCTAAAACCTTGTTGGTTTAATAGCTTAAAACAACTATAAATTGAAAAAAATTTAATATAATGGTACCATAACTTTTTTTAAAAGATAAATTAAAATTATTTACAAGTGCTAATTAAAAGTTTGGAAAAGGATTTCGTGAAATTAAACAGAAAATAAATGATTTTAGTTCAGGATCCATAAATTACAGCGGGTCATTCATAATGGTACCATAACTTGAATCTTAATTATTACTAAAATAGTATGTGCATCAAAACAAGTGACTTATAAAGCGAAGTGCGCTTAACCAACTGATTGATGACATTTATAATCGACTTGGTTGTCAGTTAAAAAAAAATATAATTGACTAGTTTAACGATCTTCAGTTAAATACGACCATTTTATGCTTCGTTTGTTCGTACCTTGTCCAGGCTTCTTTTGTACAATGTCTTTTGACAAATGAGAATGTATTAATTTTTAATATATTAAAAGGGTAAAGATGTTGGGCTGGGTCGGAGCAATGTTTCTGTAAACGAATGTGCTGTGCTGGATTAGCCTGGATCACTGACACTGAGACCCAAATCTTGGTTTTCTAGTTCCTGCGTCACAGTATGGGCCTCCAAGATACTCCAATAGTCCAACCCACATTTTGTGAAACCGCGGCTAAGAAGCAAAGTGATAGGTTACCCGCAAATCCAAGTAATTAAAAAAAAGTTTTTAGTTTTATAGTTCTTGTATTAAATTATTAAATATAAATTATTATATTATAAGTCAATTCTCATTTAATAATTTTAAATTATATAGTTTTGTGCAATTTGTTTTTGGATAAAATGTAAAATTTATTCTTCATAAACTGATTGTACAATGAATAACAAATTAGCTGCTTAAAAAATACATATCCCAAAACAAACTAGCAAAAACTGCACCAATCTATTCCTTCATGACATCTTTCGGCGCCCATTGCTTTGCAATACCCATAGGCAAGGGAGAAGACTTTGGTCGAGCAAATCCTAGGATTTTACACTTTACACCAAACTGAACTTCATAGACAATCTCACCATCAACTTTAAAATGTTTTTGGTGAATTCTTTTGTTTCTTTCCCTGCATGTGTGGTTTTGTGCAATTTAAACTATACAGATACTTTAAAAAAAAAATTCAAACAAATAAAAAAAGAGAGAGTTCTAGAGAATGACTTAACGAATACTAGTAATAGGCAGGAACTTATCAGATAATCTAAATCTTAAAATTACCTAGGGTAATAAAACGACGAAACTACGACCATTTCACTGCAGGGACCATGGATAAGAGCACCTCTGCTCTAAAGCCAACTGAGAAAGGAAAGAAAACAGACAGCGCGCGCCGTTTGTCTCTATCGATCTAGATGTTATTGATGCATATGGTACAAATATTGTTTACATGTTAAATTAATACATTTTCATTTCCTTTCTCCAGGCTTCA